TTATAGTTTTGCCCTTTACGACGATCCCCTGGCAACAAACTCCATCGGCTGGCTACGGGCCCTGTGAAGTCACTCTTGCTTTTCTTTTAAACCTGCGGCCTATTAATTCCACTGGGTGAACGCGGTCTTGTGCTACCTGAAGGGGTAGTAACCTTTCCCTATTCACTGTCCCCCACGCCATTTATAGAGGTACAGACCTCAGTCATAGCCTCTCGTGGGCCATCTCTTTCCGAAACTCAACAGTCCCAGTCTTATTAAACTCTCCTCGCAGGACAGCTCCCTGATCTTAGACTTTCTTGCTGCGCTTCTCTGCACCTTTCCAAATCCGAATGCCTCTGTTTGGAGATGTATTCATAGTGTGGGTGTACCATGGACTATTACACATTCGGTCTTCTCTCGCCCTGGCCTACTGGTTCCTAACATTCATTCACTTTCTTGAGTAATTTGATCCCGTGTGCAAAATTTTGCCCCATTCTTCACTCCATTTTCCAGCTGATCAGTGTTTAACAGAACAGATCCCAGTACAGGTCTTTGGAGATGGCTACTATTTACTCCTCCATTATGAAAACTTGGCCACTGATTTCTCTCTTTTGTTTCTTAGCTTTTATGTCAGATCCTGTTCTATGAAAGGGCCCTCTCTCTTATCCCACGGCTCCTTTGCTCAAGAGCCTTCGACGAAAAACCTTGTCAAAAGGCTTGCTGAAACTTCAAGGATTCGGTGACCACATATTTGTTCATCCCCCTCAAAGAATTCTAACAGACTGGTGAGGCATGGTTTCCCTCTCCAAGAGTGTTGACTCTACGTGACCGCTTAGTCTGTTCTTTACTACAGTTTCAAACAATTTGCCTGGTAGAGAAGTTAAGCTTCCCAGGATCTTCTCTGTAGGCTTTTTTTTTTTACGTTAGCTACCCTCCAGTGATCTGGCGCGGAGGATGTGAGTGATCATTTACATACCACATTGAGTAGATCTGCAATTTCATACTTGAGTTTCTGCAGAACTCTCGGGTGAAGAACATTTATTGATGACTTTCTAGCTTATCAATTTGTTCAAACCTCCTCCGTGGACACCTCCATCTGGGTCACCTAAAAATACGGCTTGCAAGAGGGGCTCTCCCGCCTATCTTCTGCGGGGAAGGCCAATGCAAAGCATTAATTTAGATTCTCTGCAATGGACTTGTCTTCGTTGAGTGTTGTGTTAGTACCTTGATCAGCCAGTAGGCCCACGGGCTGACTGGCAGGCTGGCTGGCTGCTTGTGATGTACTCAAACAATTTTTGTGCTGTTATTTTTTTCCACCTAAGCCAGTTGCTCTTCAGATTCTCTCTCGGCCTGCCTTATTATACTTTTACACTTGACTTGCCAGAGTTTATGCCCCTATATGTCTGAAGATCGTGATCACTGATGTGATTTTTGTACATTCTGACCAAAAACCAAACAAAAAAAAAAATCCAACCACCTAATAAAAGGCTCCGAATGGTTCCCAATTTCGGGTCAGCATTGCAATGCTGCCTGCTAGATTTGAGCTGGAACTGCGCAATAAACGCTGGCCACCGTCTCCTCTCCCCCGGGCCGTGACAGCTCCTCAGAGCAACCAACACGATTAAAAGAGAAATGGATGAGACACATGGACAGCTATTCTCCCTCCAGTGTCATGCATTTCTCCATGTCAGCTCTCCAGATACTAGCAACATCCATGGAGCTTAGCAAGATCTGTTTGGCATTAAAAATGTCTTAGATTTCCACATCGCTGCTCCTTCTCAGCCAAGGGGACTGGGCTAACGGTGGGCTCAGGAGTGGGAAGAGTTAAGTGATGCCACCGAGTCGGCAGGAAGCCGTTTTTAGCATGGCAGGGCATCTCCAGAAGGCTGCGCCACACTGCCGGGCTACTAATGGCCAGCTTTTTGTCCCAGGAAGGTGGAGAGAGCCGACATTAACATGGGAGAAAATGGCAAAGAGGCACATTTAGTTCCCTGCAAGCCTCACAGAAGAGGTCTCTCAAAGGAAGACTCAGCAGCCTTGCATGCCAGGGGAGGAGGAGGCCCGGACAGGAGGGAAAGGCTGACGCCCCCGGAACTTGTTTCAGACTACGAAGAGTTCATGGACCGTCCACGCCAGGACTTCCCGTCGGGTGGCACAGGGAGAGTCAGCTGGCAGGCCTGTTCTGGGGACGCTGAGGCAGGATTCTAGGGATGCTCAGCAGAAAACTAGCAGCAAAACATGCTCGATTCCGCCCCCCCCCCAGTGACAAGCTCCCAGCCCCCCCATCTCTTTTACCAACCTACATTCATCCCCCCCGCAAGACATCTGGTGAGGCTCTCTGGGAAGGAATCCCCTAGAGCGGGGTGGCCAACCCGTGGCTCACAAGCCACATGCGGCTCTTCACCCCTGAGAGTGCGGCTTGTGAAGCCTCCCCCGGGGGAGCCGTCCAGCGCGGCAAGATGGCGTCGGCCAATGGGAGCCGGATGTGGCCAAAAAGCCTAACCCACAGTTTTTAAAGGGACAGCGTCCTTTTTGGGGGGGGAGGAAGGGGGAGAGCTCAACAACTGTGGCTGGTGGGGAGCTCTTCCTTCTTTTTTTGCGCTCAACAGTCCTGGTGCAGCTCTTCGCATTTTTTCTGCCGCTGTTACAGCTCTCTTCATTTAATGGGTTGGCCACCCCTGCCCTAGAGCTCATCCTCCAAGGGCATGCAGGATGTTTAGCTAGCGGGTAACTGAATAGTTGTGTATCTGCAGGACACTTTAGCAGTTACACGACTATTCGATAGTCTCTGGGGGCGGGGCCGGCAGCCAGTGCGCGTCTGGCCCATTCCCGAGGAGCCCTGTCACCCCGTGCTGCTGCCTCCGGTACAGAGGCAGCAGAGTGGGGTGGCAGGCAGGAGCCAGTCCACAAAGGGAGCACGTTTAAAAACCGGCTTCCCACGCAAACCGGCCCCCGCCTGCCACCCCCGATACAGGGGCAGCAACACGAGGCGGCAGCAGCCCCTGTCCGCAGCAGGGCTGAACTCCTTGCAGACACAGGCTGCTCCCCTGCAGAAGCCACGGTCCACGGGGAGCTTGGAACCTGCAGACAGCTGCTGCTGTGGAGCAGCCTCTGTCCACGGCGAGCCTGGCCTACCACAGACAGAGGCAGCTTCCTGGCAACTCCCCCCGGCGCTGCTGCCTCGGATACAGAAGCAGCATGGTAAGGGGGGAGGGGGCGGGAAGAAGAGTGCATGTCATCAACAAGATTAACCGTTAAGCCCAGGCTTATCGGTTCATCATGTTGCCGTCTACACATTGACATCCCTAATGAGCTCCAATGTGGGACGGCACAATTCTACCCGCGCTCGATACCTGTGTTTGGAAGCGGCCACGCTCGCTGGGGGCAGCCCTCTGAAGGTAGAGGAGCGTGGCCTTTGCTGCGACACATGGCTAACCTCCACCCAATTCAGTCCCTGGAGCTACTGCACATTTTAAAGAACCCCGAGCCAGGATCCTGCACGTCCCCCGAGCCTGATCATACGGGCTGCAGAGCACTCTCCCTCCCGCCGCGCCATTTGAAACACCGTCCCGGCGAGGGGGTGGGACCAAAAGTTTAAGGGGACACGCCAGTTCTCAGCTAGAAGGGACTGGGAGTATCATGGCCGTAAGGTGACCCAGCGATGACGCCAGGGCCCGAGGGAGAGGTTCCACCCCGCTGACGAGAAGAGGTGAAAGGAGCGGTGGAAGAGGAAAGGTCACGCTTGCACAGAGGGGTGGGAAATCGGGCAGACTGGTAGGAAGAGGCGCGCCGATGCCGTAGCACTGAAGAGAACAGCGTCCCCTGCTCTGTACTGCCGACGCGAGCAGTTACGTTAATGACCAAACTCTCCCCCCGGCCTGCACCACTTTCCTCGCAAGCCATGTGCTGGTCCGGGGGCGAGTGGATGAAGCTCTGGGTCTGGGACAATTATTTGCAGGAGCCAGGAACGCAGCCTTCACTAGGAACACGGCGCAGCTGCCTCACACTCCTGCTACTTAACCTCCGTGGTCCCGAGCACCTGCTCCTCTATTCCAGAGAGATCCGGAGCACCCGGGGTCACTTAAGAGCCAGCAGGTGCATGGGCACGTGAGGCTGAGCCCCTCAGCCCCGAGGTGTTTTCAATTCAAACCCAAGCGGAGGTCTGAAGACGCAGCCTCCCCTCCTCATCGAAAGGGCCCAGCTGGCGTTTCCGCACGTGTTTGGGCTGCGTGCAGGCGACTCTCCTTCGTGCCAGCCGTCCACCCCAGAGACCAGTTTGGTAAATCGTGCGGCGGGAGGCCAAAGGGCCGAGTGTAAGAACGAGGCCAGGTTTCCAGCTACAATTGCATTCACCAGGAAAGCTCACCCCAGGTCAAATTTTGCTATAACTCTTTCTCCTCTGTAACTGGTTTCCCTGTCACGGGGGAAGGCGCAGCAGAAGAAGGGAAAATAAAATGTGTTTGTCTCGGAGCCCTGAGGGCCTGCAGCGCTGGAGGTACACAGCAGGTTGCTGGATTCTCATTTATCAACCTTAAAAGGGATGGAGTGATAAATGCATAACCGGCCCTTTAATATTTTATTCAGGTGCTAAAGCGACTTCGCTGTCACCTTCAATACATCACCAGCGGCTGATAAACCAGCTTTCGTCACTCCAGGCTGGGAATTTTTACAATTTCATTTCTCTCCCCGCCCCCCCCTCCTTCAAATACGTCCATGTATTTCTTAATATGTGCCAACAAGGAACGGATTCCTTCCCAAAGGAGCTCGCCCTCCACCCGCTCTCAATCCCTCGCCCCTCGCGGCTACATTGCCTGCATGCTAAGTACAGCCTGGCTTTTGTGCAAGATAACACAGTGCTACCCTGGCCGGTCCGGGCGGTAAGAGCTGAAATCACTGCAAGTTCCCACCCATCGGTGGGTGGCTACGCTGCTCGAGCCCCTCCCTCCGGAGAGAAGCGACTGGCCCCTGTCCATGGTAGATGTGCCTCAAGTCAGCCCCTCCCCCCAAAAACTTCCCCCTACCTCGGAATCCCCCCTCCAGGAGGGTGGTAGCACGTATCCTCTTCTGCCCGCACCACTCATATTCCTCAAAGCGATTGCCGTTCTCGTTCTCGATGTCCACGGAGTCATCCTCAGTCATGCACGAGCCTTCTCTCTGTGTCAGGCAGAAAGGGGCAGAGAGTAAGACCCCGAAATCCCCTGGGGGGGGTCAGGACTGCTCCTACAGGGCGGCTGTGTCTGGAGTGGGCAGCAGCATCTGCCTCCGTACTCCGCGCTTGGTCGGAATCGACAGGCGCCGAGAGCCCTCAGGGCCTCCCACAATCCAACAGGCCCACCTGAGCTGTAGGCCCCAGGACGCCACTGGCATGTGCCCAAATGCAACCTGGCCGGCACCGTCCCGGCACGTGACCCGCAGACCCTGAGCCGAAAGCAGCACGCGCCCGTCGCCCAGGAGAGCTCCTTCGGCAGGGCCAGAAGCGGATTCCTCTGGACACCTGGTGCCGGGAGGCTGGTCTCAACCCCGGTCTTTTAAAACCCGCTTTGCTTGGGGGTTCACGGCGGGCAGAAGCAGGACACTACAGAAAGCCCTGGCGGGACGTCGGCAGGGTTTACTCCCCTCCCCCGGCTTTGGACAGGGCTCACCTTCCCGCGGGCAGGAGGCGGGGCAGTCTGAGGAGCCCCGATGCCTAGTGCGCAACGCTCAAGCAGCATTTTCAAGAAATCGCCTCGAAACGGGCAACATTGAGACAGCTGCAAAGGCAGAGCCCGGGAAAGAACCCCCTTCGCGGTGCTAGGCCGGAGCCTGGACACACCGCAGGGGCCTGGGCTACCCAGCCGGAGCTCATTCACACAGCGTGGGTGGGTATTAAAAACCAAAGCCACCAGCAGGAGGCAGACAGGCCCTCTCCTGAGCCGCCCTCCAGGCCTAGCGCCCACAGCTCCCGGCCTGCGCACCCTACAGCCCGGCCTTCACCGCAGCAGGGTGGGAAGGGCCACTACGAGAGAGCAGGGAGAAAGGAATGGCAGGTGGGCCCGCTGCGCCTCTACCTTTGCAAGGCATTGTTCCACATGTCTACTCATCTCCTCCTCGGATCCCGACAGAGGCCGGCTGCAGAGGGGACATACCTGCCCTTCGTCTTGCTTCCTCCGTTTCATTTTCCCAATCCGAGCTGCGTGGAGAAACCGGGGAGAGAGGAAGAACGTCACCTTTACGAGGGCTAGCGCGAGCCCCGCTCCCCTGCCGGCTCCCTGCCTCCCCTGAGGAGCATCCGCCCAGGAACACCAATTCGCTGCCGGCCCGACGGGACAATTCCAACCAGCCGGCTGGACTTCCCGAAGCGCACAGACCAGAGAATCTCTCCCCACATCCGGTCCACCTCCAGGAGCGGAGCTAGAGCATGTCACCCAGACCTGAGGGAATGACCATGTAAGGGAGACTCCACCATGCCCCAGCTCTTCCAGCAGTAACCACCCTGGACCTCACTGCTGGCTTGTCACCCGTATCCATGTGCTTGCTGCACCACAGCACCGCTCGCCTTGGTGGGTTGTGTTTCCTTGGCACATCTCATGCACCTCGTCCCTCTCTGCGTGGCCTACTTCTCTGGCCTTCGCGTGCCCCTGTTGTCTTTTATTTCTCAGTTTCATCCGTCTTTGCAGCATTGTCCATTTTAGCCATCACCCTCCCCCCTCTTATCTCAGGAGCAGGCTACTCTGACAGCTACTGTATACCCGGTTTCTTGTGCCCCCCTCCCTCTCAGATGGATCAAGAATGGATACGGGTGACAAGCCAGCAGCGAGGTCGCGTGCCAAACAAGGACGGTGGATGTGATGGAAGTAGGGATGCTAGAATATGTTTATTTTGGTGAACGTAGCAGTTGCACGTTTACACGCCGAGGGGGGAGGGCAGAGGGAGCGGGTGCTCGCAGGGAACCGGCTTAAAAACCGGCTCCACACAAGCACCGGCTCTTGCCTGCCCTCTCTCCGCCGCTGCGTTGTGGCCTCTCTATCAGAGGCAGTGGGGGGGAGCAGGAACGCACAGGGAGCCTGCTCAAAAGCCGGCTCCGCACACGCACCCACTCTGTATCAGAGGCAGCGTGTGTGCCTGTGTGGGTCGACTGACGAGCCCAGGCTTACTGGTTCACCACAGACACGAATACACATGACCGCCCCCAATGGTAAGTAATCTTTAAGGGGCTCCAAGGAGTGCAGAGCACAGATGGCGCAACGCAAGACCTCCACCCGCGTGGAGCAGCGTCTGTCGGGTGACGACCATTCCACCCGGGCCCCACCTTGTTTTCTAGCCTGGACGATCGAGTGTATGGGCCTTGTTCTGCCTTCCTTCTGATAGATCCAAGAGCCCTCTACAATCAGCGAGTTCCTCTCTGTGTAAGTATCTGCTAGGAGACCTACAAGGCTCAGTTTTGTTATACAACGGTTACTTTCAACATCTCATGCTCCCTCGCATGCGCCCTTCCTAGAAGGTCGGATCGAGGCAGGAGCCATGTGGGGAGGACGGGCGATTTGGTTTTGGGTGAAAGGTGGTCTGCATCCCCGCACGGGGGTTTTTATCTCCCTGGTTCTCAAATTGATTTGCATTTGTGTTATTTTTATTTAAAGTACATCCAAGCCACGCAGTGAGAAACTGGAAACTGCATCGACGCCCAAGAGAGCAATCTGGGGGAAAGATACTGAGAACCATACTGATTAGGAAAAGCAGCCGAGAGAGCCTGTCACTTAATCCAATCTCTCGTTAATTTGAGCCATCGTTAAACGTGATCAAAACATCTGGAACCAAATGATTTGCATTAAAAAGAACTTCTGTCCTTTATGATGATGGCTTTAGGCAGGTATTACTGGGTAACTCAATCACTGGCTGGAGCAAAGTCTCTGTTTAATTAACGAGGAAGGTCAAAATTCCGAACACGAGACAAGAAAGAGCCTAAGGAAAGCCCATGTGGTAATGAGACATGACACCACTGGAAAGTTGTGTTAGGCGCAGATTGTTATTGACATGGTAAGCACTGCCACGTGCCTGGAAAGAGGCGCTATTCATGCCAGCGCGGGGATGGATGGCAACATCTATGGCTTACTACAACCAATGCGAGACTGGGAAGGTGCTGCAAACCTAGCTAGGGGATGGACAACAAAGCAGGGAGGCAACAGACTTGGAACTGTCGCCCCCTCCGGTATATCCAGCTCAACAAAAACAGCCTGATTTTTCTAGCATCGTGGTACCCAACACACTAGCCACGTGTGGCTATCTGGCCAGCTGAGTGTGGCTAGCTCACTAGAGCAGGAACCATTACAGGAGACTGTACAAAGGCAGCTACAGATCCTAGAGAATTACACTGCAAGCCCTCCAGGAACCTAACTCTGGGCCGGTTTACAATGAGGATGTTCCCTCAGCCAACTGGTTTCAGCAGATATCTGAAATCCACCCCTGCCTGCTCCAGAACCCTCCCCATCTGTACACTGGGGCGTCTCTCACGTTGGCTAAGGAGCTAACAAGGAGACTGCTTCCCACTGTAAGCATCAGACACTTCAACGTGTCTGGTGGGGCATGCTCCTGGAGTTTCAGAGTCCGTTTGGTCTACTCTAAACAGCGAGGGAAACACCTGGTTATCACCTCCTACTTCCCAAGGGAAACAGGTCTTTCCTAGAGCACTTTAATCTGCCCGAGCATTCATTAAGGGATCTCCAAGTTACCCTGTTGTTTCAGGCCAATTCCACCAGCCAAATACACAGGGAAGCTTTGGAACTTAACTTCATTTACAAGTTTAATTCTTATGCAAATGGAAAGAACAGGGATATCAGCTGGCTTGCACACTACCTTCCACATCCTAATGACTTAACCAAACAATGGAGATGCTAATTGTTCTTATCAGCCTCTTGTAACTACTTGAAACATCTACTCAATGTGTCTCTCTCTTTTTCCTCCCCCTTATTTATTCTTGGATCGGACTTCTTATACTCCACAAAAGATCATGATACCATCTACATGCTTTGTTAGTCTTTAAGGTGCTACTAGACTATTTGCTGTTTTTTACGTTTTCCCTGTTACAGACTAACCCTCTCCAAGTCTTTTCTAGTCTGTTTTGCCCAGAGAAGTAACTCTAATAAGGCACCACAGGGCCTTATTTATGGTTTCAATAAGTCCTGGTCAACTCTGCTCTGTGCCTAAACAAGTCAGTGTTTTTTGTAACTGCCTGTTTTGCAAACTCCACCTGGGTCTGCGAGTCAAGTTGGGGATGCTGGAGCTCACACTTCATCACCCACAAGAGAGATTTTACAACGATGTTGCACGCAGATTTGAATCCAGCTCCCTCTCCCACAGCTCGGCAGAGGCAAAGCAGTTCACCAGGATAGAAAGAAAGCGCATGAATGTCGCCGAGTCAGAAGGCGTGACTGCCTCTGCGAAGTAGTTAAGGGACAAGGTCATTAATAGTCAAGTATAAAGAAGCCCTCAAATCTCCAAATGAGATCCACAGATCTCAAAATGCAGCATTATCCTGGTGTTATTCCTCTTGCCCGTTCACCTTCATTTTTCAAGGATCAGTAGGGAAACACATGCACGGAGGAGCTAAAAAACAAGGCTCCCGCTAGGGAAACAAAGCTGCTTGCCGGGCAAGTTAAAAGTGATTAAATGCTATTAGGTGTCTTTCGTTGCCACCCCAACCCAAAGGAGGCACTAACAATATACCTAACAGGCAGGCAGGCAGGGTGTGCATCCGGGCTGATTAACCCGCCCAGCCTCGCAAAGCAAGCTGGGGCAGGCGGCGTCAGCGGAACAAAGGGGAAGAGAACCCAGGTCTCTCCCAATCCCAGATCCAATGGACTGCACTCTGTGTCTCGCCCTTTCCCGGAGCAGCACAGTGCCAGGAGCGAAAGAGGCACTGGAGGGACGAGGTGTTGAAACCAAATCCCTCTGCCATTTCCGTTCGGTGGTCATTAGCAGCAGCGTGGCGCTGCGGGAAGCCGCCGGGGCCCTGGTGAGGGTTGCGAGCGCAAGGGAACGCCGCCGCCTGGAAAGCGCAGCCTGGGCAGGATTCCCTCTCCCTGCCGCGGCGCTGGGCTATCACTTCCAATCAGTGCAGAAGGCACAGAGCCACCCCAAAGGCAAGGGGCGATTGTGGAATTGTCCCGAAGGGGAGCAGCTCAAAAGAACAGGCAAGTGAGACCACAGTATGGTTAATTAGTGCTGATAGATGCGATCATTTCTAATTAGCTCACTAATCCCTCTCCCCTGTGCTCCTGTCACAAGACCAAAGGGGGAGGAGGCGGATTTTTCCCCTGTCCCTAAGCCAGTAAGAGAAAAGCTCCGAAAATCCTGCGGTAAGCAAGAGGAGAAGGGAGGATTTCACTGGAGAGCCCCGGAGTGCTATCCAGGAAGCAGCCCCTTGCGATCGCTGATGGAACCAAGCTACTGGGCCAAGAGGGGAGGAGTGCAGGAGTTTTTATGAGTGCTCATGGGTATTACTAGACCATCAGCAGCTGGTCAGCACCACTGGGGCCTCTGTTTTAACTGAGGTTCTTGCTCAGCAGTACCCTTGACTACAGCCGAACTGCAGCCTCAGCGCTCTGCTAGAGAGGGGCAAGGCTAGACCAGCCCCCAGAGGCAACGTGAGCAGGGGAAGCTATTTTTCTCCTCTGCTACTGGGTGCCAGTGTGGCAGGGAGAACTAGAGACCACTGCCTCTAGTATCTGCTCTGGACACAGCGAAAGGCCTCTAGCAGAGTGCTGGATTCTCTGCTGTTGCAGAAGGTGCATCACCCGTGGTTCATGTCCTTCCCACGTGTACTCCAGACCCCCCCCCCACGCCAAGCTACTGGCGCACGCCCTCTGGCATCCTGACTGCTGGCACCTTGGGGCTCAGCGGCAGTGACGGACGCTGGGCAGGTGAAATGCCATCTTCCCGTAATGGGGTCTTCCAGGTCAACTGCTGCGCCCGCCTGGCCTAAACGTTCCCAGTCACTTCCGATCACATCTCAGCTAGCGGGCGAAGGGAGCAACCCTCGTCATTTTCACTGCTGCCGTTGTGCCTCAGTAGCAGAGAACCTCCTGGAACCAGGGCCACACTGAGCGTTAGATGTCAGCCCAGCATATTTATCATAGCAATATACACTCATCACACCACATGCTGCAGCGAGCATTAGACACCGTATCAACAGCA